ACCACAACTCATCTGTGTTTATCTGACCCCTGAACGCACCACAGCTCATCTAACTGTGTTTATCTGACCCCTGAACGCACCACAGCTCATCTAACTGAGTTTACCTGACCCCTGAACGCACCACAGCTCATCTGTGTTTACCTGACCCCTGAACGCACCACAGATCATCTGTGTTTATCTGAACCCTGAACGCACCACAGCTCATCTAACTGAGTTTATCTGACCCCTGAACGCACCACAGCTCATCTGTGTTTATCTGACCCCTGAATGCACCACAGCTCATCTGTGTTTATCTGACCCCTGAACGCACCACAGCTCATCTAACTGTGTTTATCTGACCCCTGAATGCACCACAGCTCATCTGTGTTTATCTGACCCCTGAACGCACCACAGCTCATCTAACTGTGTTTATCTGACCCCTGAACACACCACAGATCATCTAACTGTGTTTATCTGACCCCTGAACACAACACAGATCATCTGTGTTTATCTGACCCCTGAACGCACCACAGCTCATCTAACTGTGTTTATCTGACCCCTGAACGCACCACAGATCATCTAACTGTGTTTATCTGACCCCTGAACACAACACAGATCATCTAACTGTGTTTATCTGACCCCTGAACACAACACAGATCATCTGTGTTTATCTGATCCCTGAACACAACACAGCTCATCTAACTGTGTTTATCTGACCCCTGAATGCACCACAGATCATCTAACTGTGTTTATCTGATCCCTGAACGCACCACAGTTCATCTAACTGTGTTTATCTGACCCCTGAACGCACCACAGATCATCTAACTGTGTTTATCTGATCCCTGAATGCACCACAGTTAATCTAACTGTGTTTATCTGATCCCTGAACGCACCACAGATCATCTAACTGTTTATCTGACCCCTGAACGCACCACAGATCATCTAACTGTTTATCTGACCCCTGAACACAACACAGCTCATCTAACTGTGTTTATCTGACCCCTGAACACACCACAGATCATCTAACTGTGTTTATCTGACCCCTGAATGCACCACAGCTCATCTAACTGTCTTTATCTGACCCCTGAACGCACCACAGATCATCTAACTGTGTTTATCTGACCCCTGAACGCACCACAGATCATCTAACTGTGTTTATCTGACCCCTGAACGCACCACAGATCATCTAACTGAGTTTATCTGACCCCTGAACGCACCACAACTCATCTAACTGTGTTTATCTGACCCCTGAACGCACCACAGCTCATCTAACTGAGTTTATCTGACCCCTGAACAAACCACAACTCATCTAACTGTGTTTATCTGACCCCTGAACGCACCACAGCTCATCTAACTGAGTTTATCTGACCCCTGAACAAACCACAACTCATCTAACTGTGTTTATCTGACCCCTGAACACACCACAGCTCATCTAACTGAGTTTATCTGACCCCTGAACAAACCACAACTCATCTAACTGTGTTTATCTGACCCCTGAACACACCACAGCTCATCTAACTGAGTTTATCTGACCCCTGAACAAACCACAACTCATCTAACTGTGTTTATCTGACCCCTGAACGCACCACAGCTCATCTAACTGAGTTTATCTGACCCCTGAACAAACCACAACTCATCTAACTGTGTTTATCTG